GAAGGCGTCTTCTGTCACTGCACGTCCGTAAAGTGTCAGTGCTGTCTGTCAGTTGTTGTCGTGTCAATGTCATGTCGTGTTCCTGTCGCATGTGGTCCAGAGGTGCCCCGTCACGTAAGCGCATTGTCAGGCGTCGTGAGAGTGTCGTTGTGGTCACACCAATGTAGTGTGTGGGACGAAGTTTGCAGCCTTCGATGTTGCATTGGAATTTATACACTACATTGGTGTATTTCAGTTTTTCGGGTTTGTCTGGGCTGTTTCTCATAAGAAAGTTCGATATCTTCTTATTACAATAGTAGATGACAATGTCTATTTTGTGGTCGTTTTTGCCTTTAGCATGCTGAGAGATAATTTCCCGTAAAGCTTTTTCGTCCTGTTTGTGAGCAGATGTCATTTGATTTTGATAGTACAGTTTGACGGTCGGTTGGATGTCTCTTCTTGACATATGACAATACACTTTGACAGCAAACCAAGGCAAGACATTCAACCGACCGTCAAACTGTACTATCAAAATCAAATGACATCTGCTCACAAACAGGACGAAAAAGCTTTACGGGAAATTATCTCTCAGCATGTTAAAGGCAAAAACGACCACAAAATAGACATTGTCATTTACTATTGTAATAAGAAGATATCGAACTTTCTTATGAGAAACAGCCCAGACAAACCCGAAAAACTGAAATACACCAATGTAGTGTATAAATTCCAATGCAACATCGAAGGCTGCAAACTTCGTCCCACACACTACATTGGTGTGACCACGACACTCTCACGACGCCTGACAATGCACTTACGTGACGGGGCACCTCTGGACCACATGCGACAGGAACACGACATGACATTGACACGACAACAACTGACAGACAGCACTGACATTTTACGGACGTGCAGTGACAGAAGACGCCTTCAAATTTGGGAAAGCATATTCATTAACGAACTCTCTCCGGCCTTAAACAGACAGACAAATTCTTGCAGAACTCTTGAGCTACTAGGTGGCGGGCGGTGAGCACTTCTGATGTGATTGTGACAATAGTGTTCCCATTGTGTCTTTGTGATGTTCCCATTTTGAGTGTTTCTTACATGTATGAAGATGAAAATAGCAATCCGTCTTACTTCAATTAGTTATGCTTCATTTATGTTCTCCGTACCAAAAGACGTTTTCCAACAGTAGTGCACAATTTTTCGTCCTTTAAAACTCAAAACTTGTTTCTTGTGCAACTTAGTCTTCTCCGAAGATGAGATAAGATCTCGAAACGTTAGAATGGAAGGAGTGATGAATATATGAGTAATTTTGTGCGAACCATCTTTAATCTAAGCGATGACGCAAAGTCAAAGGCCCGGAAACTAGAACGATGCATCAAAAACTCGTTAATGCTGAGTCAGCAGTTATTTTTAATCAAACACACACATATATATATATATATATATATATATATATATATATATATATATATACCTGACCAATATATATTTATGTGTATATGTATATATGTATATATATATATATATATATATATATACAATAACGTCAGAATCCTAAATCACTTAGCCCAGAACCTCAAAGTGTACGGAGAAACACACCTTCCTGGGCATGCACTCCAAGGTTTTACTTTTCCTTTCACAACCGGACATTCTTCACAGTTCATAATGCCTCTTCATTGATCCTTGAGCGCTTCGCCAAGCTTTGGATTCATTTTCGAGATTTGTTCCTCCTGGTCACACGTGGACCGGTTTGAAACGTCTATCCAAAGTACCGAAATAGCAAGCAGAGGCACCGAACCTGCTATTCACGGCCGCGACAACATCCTCAAAGCACCGCGCAGGCATTGCTCAACACCCGACGGAAGTGGCACACGATATGAAAACATCCCACTCGTGGTGCGCGTCTCGTTCGCCACGGACGATCGGCAGACAGGTGTAAAGGCGGTGCTCTGGATCAGGTTGTGAGCTCAGTGCGTGCTGCCGGTGTGCCCGCAGCCGGTGCGTGCTGCCGGTACGTGCGCGGCATACCTGCAGCCGGTGGGTCCCAGGCCCAGCTATCGATCACGGTCTGACCGATGCCCCGGGCAGGCTATTTCGGGGTCATCGCAGCGGACGGGCTTCGGTGGAAAGCGATAGGAAGCCAAAGCCATCGAGCACACGTGTTCGTGATTAGAACAAGAACTTCCAGCGCATGAGGGTCGCCCTAATGAGCGGAACGTCGCGAGCAGCTATGAGATGGCTGCGGGCTTATTAACGTTTTCGGTTGTACCCCATCCTTTTTATAACGTTTATTCGGTACGATCACCCCCAATTTTAAAGGAATGCATTCGTTTTGAAATCGACATAACAAAAGTACCGCAAAACAAAACCAGTATACGGCAAAATAAAGCGGTAGGTCACGTGAAATGTGATATCGAGGACGTCCATCAGGCAGCCGCTTTTTCAATTGTTCGATGCCGGGGTCAGCAATGCGAAGACCTGCTGCCGTGCCAGCTGCCCGATATCAACCGGGGTGTCAGCAATTACACCAATCCCATCGATATGTCGAAATAGCTTATAACCAAGCGTTCACTCTCTCCGCACTAAGCTACAGTTTACAGTCACACGTTACTCCCCCCCCCCCCCTCTTCCAGACGTAAACCCTCTAGTTTCTGAGCTACACGACGGGGAAGAAGTGCAGGCCATTTCGTGCGGACCACTTCAAGATCACCCAGGCATTCATGACGCCGTAATATGGTCAGTTAAACCCTGCCACTCAATTTGTCATGCAGCGACCAGGGACCAGCGACCTATGAAAATAACATTGCCGATTCTTTCACATATGGGGTTTGTGAGCACAATTTCCAGATATAACGGCGGTCAATCGGCTCTCAACTAATGTTGTGCAAGGTGCGATGATGCAATAAAATGATAACGTGTTGAGTAGCTTCCTTATGAGTGAGGTTATTTCATCACATCTCATGTTTGTTTCCACATCTTCAAATGTGGAGTATTTGCTTTGCGCCAGGGCTGGATTTCGGGGTCCCCTCGCGCGTTTCCACTTTGGCGTGTGCACAGCCATTACGGCCCGTCGTTATCGACGTCACCAGCGTCGTATGGTCGGCACCGCCTGGCTATCATCTGGTGACTGTTTCATGTCGAACACTGCTGTTAAGTTGGTCTGGTTGGAATTGAGCCTTTTCGGCCTAACCGTTCCAGAGGTTGTGGGACGAAGGCGAGGGGCGAGAGGTTGGGCTAAATTGCGGCACTCTTGGTGAAGCATCCACCAACAAGCCTGATCATCCCGCCCAGGGAGCCATTTTCACGGTTTATGTGAGCGTTCCGGGCCTTTCAGGGATGGCGCTCATACCAGCCCAAGGCTGACATAACAACATAGTGATTTTCCTACATGCACAAGTAGAGGCCCGGAAGGTGTATTGTGTTGTCTGATGCTGGATTTATAGTGAGCGCCAGACAGGAATCCCCAAAAGATAAAAGAAGGACGTTGTGGGAGGTTTGGCTCGAAGAGCATTGTATGCATGGCCCAGCTATGGGCTTTACGTGCTAAACTCCCTTGAATCCCCACCCAAAACCTGAAAGACATCCACTTCTGCTACTGTAACTTAACAACTCTACGACAGAGATGTTGAAGTGAGCAAGTTGGCTTACCCTCAGCAAAACTGCAGTCCTCGTTGCACGCGCCACATCAGTGCTTCCTTGATATTTTCGTCTATCGCGACGCCTCACAACGGATCTCACGGAATGGGCATAAAAAAGCTGGAAACGCGATCACCATGCACCTCATACGGTTCGAATGCTCACAGAACGTAATGAAATTTAAGCATCAGCACAACACACCAGTGGCCTTAACATCCTGAAGGCGCTACTTTTTATTCGTGACCGTATACCAGCCCTAAACGTGCAAACGATTTAAACCTATGGGACATCGATCTGGAGAGGCGTTGCGAACGAATCACTCACTCAAATGGCGTTGACAAAGACGTGCGCAAATGGGTCGGAGTTAGTGTCATGCAGACGTACATTCTGTGATTTTGGATGCTATAGGTCCCGGCATATGATTTTAAGTAATGTATTACGTGTGATTGTAGAATAATTTTTTTCGCCAAACTAAAACGATGATTATTTGTGTCCAACGAGAAGATTGTTGCTATTTGTATTCTCGTGTTCTATGATCTGATTTTGGGTGTCAGTTGCCAGCATGCGCTTACAAGTTACATATTGCTTTTGAGAATGGATGGACAATGCACTCGAAGCGTTAAGTATCGAATGTACATGTCTGATTTTTAGTGCGTCAATTGTGGACATCAACTGAGCAGTATCGGTTTTGAAAAGAGACGGTATAGCTGAAACATTTTTTAACAAATGCTTGACCACGACATATATCTGTTAGCGGACTATCTTTTAATCCAACAAAAGTCGTGAAAAGTAACGAGAAAAGGGTTGAAAGCTGACGAAAACGGTGCAAGGCCATGCTCACAAGCCTACACGAGCTAGCGAGGTCGTGGCACTTGCCTTATTCGTATCCATGTCACAGGCTGAGCTTCAGTTTTTGCTGGATTTCTCGGCTTTACGTCAGGCCCTTATCTGTTGCTGTTTTCCTTGGGTCAATCGGGTGTTGGATCGTCGATCTTGCTGGATCTTCGACTTTTTCTAGACTGCTTCCTTGGTTCTTCCTGATCGCAGAATCCGGAACCAGGGCCCCGCTCGTGATCATGAAAAAACTAAGGCCGAAGTAAGCGGTTTTCGAACGATGCCTGTTTTCGAGTCTGACATCATCTTCTCTTTGTTCCAGCCCCGGTTTTTGGCGCTTTGTGTGAAAGATTCACCTGCAGGAAAGTAGTGACCAATGGCTGCCTTGTGTGATAAATTCACCTGCAGAAAAGCGAAAAAAATCGCTGCCCGAGCAGATGGCCGCCCGCTGGGGGCAGCTCGAGTGCCAAACGGGCAGATCTCTCGATTCGTCCTCGTTGATACACATATGTGATTGTCAGTCTGACGTCGGCCTATCTCTGTTTCAGCCCCGGTGGTTGGCGCTCTGTGTGAAAGATTCACCTGCAGAAAAGTAGTTACAGCCGGTGGAATCTTTTGTTTTCTGGGCTTTGCGCTTGGCTCATTAGCGACTAGCATCACGCATCTTTGTTTGACGGTTGGAGTGCTTGCAGGTAAGAGTGTGTCGTAATTTGCATGATTGATCTGTATTCGTGTACTGAAGCAGCTAACATGATCGTCTTGGTCGGCAGTGGATTCCGCTTAAACTCTCGCCAGAGACCTGACGTGTCGCTCCAACAGCTACGGGCATGGACAACCAATATCCTTAGCTGTCAATGAAGTTTCGGTGCCGATGAGTGACCCGCGTTCGCTTCCCCAACCAAATCTTACTATTTTGGCTATCATCCTTCGCACTCATAAGATATTGTAGCAAACACGTTCTGAACGAATTTGATCACCATCGTGTGTAATTGCTTTTCGTAGTGATCATGTTGCCTAATTATAGAGAGAGAGAGAGAGAGAGAAAGAGAAGAGAGAAGAAGAAGAAGAGAGAGAGAGAGAGAGAGAGAGAGAGAGAGAGAGAGAGAGAGATAGAGAGAGAGAGAGAGAGAGAGAGAGAGAGAGAGAGAGAGAGAGAGAGAGAGAGAGAGAGAGAGAGAGAGAGAGAGAGAGAGAGAGAGGAGAGAGAGAGAGAGAGAGAGACCAGAGAGAGAGAGAGAAGAGAGAGAGAGAGAGAGAGAGAGAGACGAGAGAAGAGAGAGAGAGAGAGAGAGAGAGAGAGAGAGAGAGAGAGAGAGAGAAGAGAGAGAGAGACGAGTAGAGAGAGAGAGAAGAGAGAGAGAGAGGAGAGAGAGAGAGATGAGAGAGGAGAGAGGAGAGAGTAGAGAGGAGAGAGAGATCGAGGAGAGAGAGAGGAGAGAGGAGAGAGAGAAGAGGAGAAGAGAGAGAGAGAGAGAGAGAGAGAGAGAGAGTGCGATGTTTGTATGAACATTCTGTCATTGGCATTGCACGGCGCAGGCTGCTGATGAGATTATTAATATGAAGTGTTGATAAATTGTAGCCATTTTATCTTCCTTTCATACTTGTACAAAAACACGTGATGCCAAAGAATCCTGCCAGAACTTGACGATTGAATGATCATGATTGAAATCTATAGATGGGAATGTGACGATGGAAGAAGGATTTTTTATCGCTCGGGCAACTAGCAATATGTTGGTTTTATCTCGATACTGTATCTAGCTTGATTTAAAAGTCGGTATGAGGGCCTGCCAGCCCGTATCCGTCAAGCGAGATTGTAAAAATACATTTGTCGGGCGCGTATAAAATCGGCAAACTGAAGAATTTGCAGCCTTAGTAACCCGGCCCGGCCTGGCCTGGCAGTCACATTCTGGCGCAACTTTGGCTATGCAGCCACTGATTGTAACACCAAGCGGTTTTGAACAACAAGCATCATAATATCGTGAATATGTTTCCTGCTACATTGTGATGTCAAAATTTAGAGTGTTTTACTCCGTTAATTTCGGAAACGTCAATTTAAAAAGTTGAAGAGGCTGCACAGCACACGTCGGGACTAGGTTTAGTTCAAGACAACCTGGGTTTGCAAGAACACGAGGCCAGCCTGAGAACATTGTGGCATTTTAAAGTGGTTCACAATGTGCGATGGTATTCTCAAGATTGAATCATTTTTGCTAGTGCGGTTACCATGAGGGCAACTGAAGAAAACGCTGCAAAAGCCGCTGTATTTTCACTCTCCTCAATTTTTTGCGTACTTAAGCGGACTTCTACATCCAGATTTATACTCATAATCTATCAAATCAAAATCTATCAAAATCAGGTTAGAAAAGCAGCTGCACATCACGGATCAGGGTATGGCTCAAATCACCATAGGTCCGGATGGGTCCATATATGAGAGATTTGATCTGAACCCAGATGGGTCCGGATTGGTCCAGGGTCAACCTGGGCTTTTATGGCATTCATTGCCAGCTCAGATGGTGGAGTTATTCAACACCAGCGGCGGTGGTGGTCGGCCGGCATGGCTTGGGCCGCCCTCTAGGACACCGGTGGTTGGGTTGTCATATATACGCCATGGGTACACGCCAGAGGTCTTCAGCCTCCTCTACAGGGACAAGGGAACGGGATGAGCGACGAGTGACGAGGGAGCAGCGTGTCAGCAGCAGTCCGGCCAGGGGGGGGGGGGGGGGGCAGCACGTGTTCCCGAAGAGGGCGCAGGTCATACCGACCATCAGTTAGTTGCCGAAGATTCACATAGGCGGCATCGAAGTAATGTCCCGAAGCATCACGAACCCAACCCAGCCCAACTTGTCGCGTGCTCACAACAGATGGCAGTGTGACACTTCGAAATAGGGCTGATGTTGGAGGGCACGGCGGTAGTAGAATAGGACAACAGTCTGTTGTGCGCCACCAGACAGTAACAAATAACACATGCCACATATAATAACACATGCGATATGGTATTACATGCCCAAGTCATCACCACCTAAGCACGCGCCAACAACCACCGAAGCAGTGCAAGAAATGGAGCCCGAGACCCCTACGCATGTCATGCCGGATGCCAGATGGTTGTGATGATAACTCTCTGCGGGTTACATCGACATTGCTGGGTCTCTTGCCATCGAGGGAAATCTCCGTACTAGCGTATGGTGTTGCTTGCTGCATGCGATGATGGGCTGATGCAGTCTTGAATACTCTCCTGGCGTCGTTCTGAGGAGACCTCCGTAAGCTAGGAGCCTCCACCACGGGATCCTGCCCTTCCATGCGGGCAGCTATCCCGGAGCGCCAGGTGACCTTCGGGTGTCCATGTGCACTCTGTCTGATCCCCCCCCCCTGCGCCGGCAGGCATCGGCACCGGGTGCGCCACCACACCCGGCATTCTGATCACCACGCGCTACTTCCCGACGCGGCGCTCGATGGTCAACGGACTCGTGCTGGCCGGCAACGCGGCCGGCGGGTTCGCGTTGCCGCCGCTCTTCCAGTACCTGCTGGCCGAGCTGGGCGTGCGCGGCACGCTGCTGGTGATCGCCGCGCTCTGTCTGCACGTGGTGGCCGGTGCGGCGCTCTCGCGGCCCATCGCCGTGCACGAGGCGATACTACGCCGGCGGCGGCGGCGGCGTCTCGGCGCCGTCCTCGCCGAGGTGGCGAGCGAGTTCGGCAGCGGCCTGGGGAAGCGGCCGCCGAGCGAGGCGAGCCTGGCGAGGCGGCCGCCGAGCGAGGCGAGCCTGGCCGAACGGCTGAGCCTGTGCAGCGCGCCGGCGGCCGAGCTGCGGCGGGCCAGCCTACGACCGGGCACGCACATGGTACCCGTGGTGCGGCCCGGGCCCGATGGCCAGCCCACACGGCTGCTGATGCAGGTGCCAGCGCGCCTGCGCACCAGCAGTCTCATGCTCAGCACCACGGACGTCACCACTGACGCCACGTCCCAGTTCAACGACGACATCCGGCGCCTGCGCGAGGCGGAGGGCTCGTGCGCGCCGCACCTGTACCGCCGCGTGCGCCGCTACCTCGACCTCGATCTGCTCAAAAACCCGTTGTTCCTGCTGGTGGCGCTGTCGGTATTCTTCATGGCGGCCGGCGCGCCCTACGCCCTGCTTCAGATGCCCGTATTCGGCGTGTCGCGCGGCCTGACGCGTGCTCAGACGGCGGAGATCCTCAGCATCGTGTCGGCCGTCGACCTGGCGAGCCGACTCTGCTTCGGCTGGCTCTTCGACCAGAACCTGTTCCGCAGGCAGCACGCCTTCGCTATCAGGTGAGAGACTCTGTCTGGATCGGTCGATCAAAGGCGGATGCTTCTTTGGTGATGTGTTTCGACCTGTTGTGGGCTGCAGTGACGGGCCGTTTTTATTACTAGCTGAGATGCCTGGCAATGTACGGGTGATTGAGAGGGCTTCAAGGGACGAGGCAGCGATTTGAAATAGTGCTAATTGGTTTCATGTTTTTAACAAGTCTATCTGCCGTGTAACGTGGGCATCCGTATTTGTATTTGTCACACTATTTGATAGCGGGACACACGTCAATGAAATTGCCGGCTGCAAATAATTTGCTGGAGCAATAACTCAGTAGTTGAGACATTAACAACGCCTTATTGCCGTCTGGCCACACAGCGGTCGAAATTGCGGTGACGGCCCGTCATCTCAGCCAAGACATTCTTAAGCTTTGCCCAAGCGTTGGCTGTGGGTGTGTTTTGGGGCTGCCATACGTTCAGAAGACACCTGTGTTGACGGGATTCGTCGCTGGTCATCTCTAGCGACATGCAAGCTCGGCCTCAGCTGAACAATTTCAGCACGAGAATATTGATACAACACGCATATTAAACTGAGCTGGAGTTTGTCCAGATAGCGATGTGCCATTTGCAGACCTCGTCCATTTCTTTAAAAGATGCTGATGGCCGTTGTGCCTCAGACAAAGCTCAAGCTCTCAAAGCTGGCTTGGTATGGCTGCCTTAGCATCGGCGCCCGTCGCCGACGAGACGACACAACGGCGAAGTCCCGGCAGGCCGGGGCACCGTGAGCCAATGTGTAACATTACGGCCTCGACGATCGGTGTGTAGGCATCATG